AAATATACGCAAATATTCCACAATTACAGTGAATAGAAATTCCATTTAGGTAGTATGGGATTGCAATCATTTTAGATTTTTCAACCCTAACACTTTTAAACCTATCAATGATGCTTTATACCTTGAACGATGTACTAACTTGCTTACAAATGAGTTCTGTGCAACTCACCGCTCCCATCATCCACAATAGTGGCATTATCCGGCAACTTTTTCCCCGAATGTGTCATGTGGAGACGTGGATTGGGATTAGCGGAATGTCTGTTTCTACTTCGCCTTGAGCTGAACCACATATTGCAGCCCTTGATGGTACATTTGTGCATCTCTCGCAAGTGTACAGCACTATAGTGGATTTTCAGGGCTCCTAAAACAGCACGCAATTTTATTAGTGGATCTAAAATGCTAACGACTTAAATATAATTCAGTAGCAAGACATTTTCCTCTACCCTTGTCACAAAATGACTTCTTGCAAGTGGTGCAGAGAACGCGCTTCTTGTTGCGACCCGTCAAAATCAACGCTGCTGCTGGCGCTGACATTGGCGATACTGCATTTAATGCTTGTTTTGTATCCTGTTTGCATTCGCTGAAGACAAAATGACTCCCATTGTTGTGTTGCTGCCGCTTGTTCTCCGAGGCTGGCGTCTTCCTGTTCGATGTCGCGCGGGTGGATCTTTGCTGTTTGCCTCCGATGCTGGTGGCGGCGGCCGCAGTAGTGGACGTGATAGAGAAGTCGGCTACATAGTCTAGACCTGAAATCGCCTCCGCTTTGCAATCTGTATGAGTCGTCTTGATATCTGATAGGCTATCAAATGGTGCGTTCCATATGTCGAAGAGGCCTTTGGGATAGTGAAGATAATTTTCTCTTCAAACGAGTGCAGAATAACTTAAAATACTTTTGTGATTTCTAGAGTTTTAGGTTTTTCTGATGCAATAACTTCTGTAATTTTACGGGCTAATAACTGTTTATAAGGTTTATTATAAATTTAAAGGCTGGTTTAATGACAAAGCGGCGACTGTTTTATCTATTTTTAAGTAGATGTAAAGTTTCCAAATTCCGCTGTTTTGTCTTTTAAGGCTTTAATTGAGAATAAACTCTCTTCTGCGAAGGCAATATCTTTCTCAAAAAATTGGTTAGCATCAAATTACTTCATAAATTTGTTTTATCTATTTCTGGCATGAGAAAATTGCAGATTTACAAATAGTTCTTAATCTCTTCAAATTCACATTCATCTCATCATCACCGCTTTTCAAACATTTAATTTTTCTAATTATTAAACATTTGGCTACTTCGGCAATATTAGAAAGTAAAATGTTGTAACATTTCGCACTTATGCACTCATCGAATATATACTCTTGTTAATTTTGATACATTTTACATTTAAAAAAGATATGGACCCTTCAATTTCTAATTTTAGTCATGTTTAATTTTGTAATATGCATAAATATCGAAAAAGGAGGTTGTATTTTGATGAGACTGGCGAACTAATTAGTGGTGGGAAGATTTCTAGGAAGGACATCGTTCATGTGCCATCCTTGGGGTAAATTGTACCACAAGTTCTTAAAGCTGTAGCAGAAAGCCAAAAGCTACAATGAAAACGCTGCCACAATTGTTTACTTGTAGTCTACTCACCTGTAAGTGACTTCTTCCTCTCGTTGACCTTAAAGGCTCCACCAGTTATGTCTGCCGCATCCATCACTGTAGCTGCGAACGCTGACAAAGGTGGTGGAGGTGGTGGAGGTGCGGGTGGTGGAAACGTTAGCTCCGGAATCGCTCCGATATCGCCTGAAATTTGTGCTCCACCCTCACTCTTACCACACCACCCTGTGGAGGGCAAGGGAGGTAAGGGTGGGGGCATAACAGGTAGTTTCGGGAAGGACACTTTGGAAGTCAGAGCTGCTGCCGCCATCGCCGCGACGAAACGAGTGCTCAACTCGGAGGCTAGGTTAGGGGTGGAGAAGGAAGGCACTGTTGTTGTCACCTCTGCCTCCTCCTTCTTCGTCGTCTCCTGTGGCTTAGCGACGCACTGTAGTAGGGGGCCGAAGAGGTGGTCTGCTGTAGGTGGGAGGTTAAGTTCGATTGGGAATGCCGATTTCTCGGCTTCCAGACTGACAAGCATATCGTGAGCAAGGTGACGAGTCTCAAGGAAGCGTAGAAACTGTTGGATTATAAGGGCTTCTTCTTCTACACGGCAACTTACCCATCGATCTCGTAGTTGACCCTTGTGATCCTGTAGACAAACATCCGCAGTTAGAAATTTACGATTTTGTGAAATTTTAGGACAAGCGACTCACGGTCAACATGTATCCACGTGTGTAGTCTTGAAGGGTCCAACCAAAAGAGAGGAGAAATTGAGTCAAATCAACTTGAAGACGGCTAGATGACCAGATACGGTCCAAAAGGATTTTTGTTCGTGTTGGGATGGCATGACAACCCAGAAGAGCCATGCTCATTGTTTCAAACAGGACTATTATCAAACCCGGATCGGATTTGAGACTATTTCCAAAGAAGGGTGGGAGATTTTGGAACTTGGAGCAAGCTAAATAAAAAGAAGTGCCATTGATTCATGGATGAACAGATGAATAAACGTTTGGATTGGTTAGGATATGGGAGGAAAGGCTGATGGTTGTAGTGGTCACCACGGTGTGCATCAAGATGACTTAAAACCGTTTTATTGGGTTTGCACGTGCAGTGACCTCTTGTGGTGATTGCGATCACCGCAATAACACCTTTCATGTGTTGCGGTGCGGTTTGGCTTGGCTCATGTGTGTGTGTATATACACTATCACTAAAAGGCGCCCTCGTTTTATTGCAAACATATCAACATGCGTGTCGATGCTATCATGTTACACCAACTGCACCTATCTAAAACACTTAAAATAACATCAAGTTCATCCAAGGCGAGACACTGTCCTCCTTTATGTCAGAAACCGTTAGGGCATGGGTAATGCATGACTTTCAACGGACTTAATAGTTGATTTTGTGTTGTTCTAATCCCTCAATTTTTCCGTGTCATTTCGATGCAAAGCAAAAACTTATCGGATCTTTCCATATTTTGCATAAAAATTTAGGTTGAAAAATCAAGTGTGAGTGAGTGGAATCGGTAAATGTGTAGCATACATTTATAAGCAATTTTATCACAGCAATAACATAACTTGATCAAAATTTTGTGGATCTTTTAAAATGTCAAGTTTGTGACCCTTGACATGCTCTTTCTAGCAAAAGATTAATGCATCTCTAATAGATATTTTGCAGGAATTATTCATTAAATTTAGTAATTATAAAAATCAGAAAAGTTTTGCTTTCAACGCTGTATTTATTCGACCAAAGCTGTGACATCATGTCTTTATGGAATACTTTGTAAATCAACTAAAAAGTTTCATTTCGTAGAGGAAAGTTGCGCATGAAATTATTTGTCAACTTTGAAACCGTCTAAGCAGGGTTTTAAATGCTGAAATGTTTATTTGTGGAGCATAAAAGCCAAGTAAAAGAGTGACAAGTCAGAAAAATACAAAATGATGCCAAAACTTAGTCTGTGAATGATAAATTTATCTTATTTATTTACAGAAAAGTACATTTATTCTAGCATTCGGACATTACGACATTATGTGTAATAGAACCGGAATTCAACTACGATGGGTTTGACCACATCAGTCGTTAGGGCTATATGATTTTTAGATTGGTCAAGTTCATGAAATTTTCTGATTACAAATATGATTTGCTTAAAGCAGCCGAAAATCACCATGAAAAACCCAGGAGTGCGAGCAGCCCGAGCACTGACGAATTGCGTTCACCCTCGGTTGGAAGGCCTTGCATTCGCAGCCGGTGCTGGCACACCTAACCGACTGGGTTGTTGGACAGTGCTTGGTTCCAGCCTAGGAAAGATTTATGAAAATTTTTTGTCAATTCCGCCTAAAATCAGACTTATCACTTTTGTGAGTTTTTGGAGCTTAGGGCTTCTCACTTAATTTCGTCTATAAAGGTAACTAATCAACGTTAAAAAAGACGAATGGCATCGTATTCGTCTATATATAACACGAATTAGGTCTCTATTGTCCAAAATTGGCCATTGCGCACCTTTGGCGTTAGCAAATTTGAATCATTAGCATACGGAGAGCAAGATAGTGGAGAAAATAAGGTTTAAGGAAGGTCACCCTTTAACACTTATTTGACAGGTAACAATGTCTCCTGTTAGAAGCAATTAGACTTAAGTGGGCAACGACCAAACTGGTGTCTTTTTGTATAGAGTAAATGTAGCAGCAGTAACAACAGTGGCGAAATTTGGTGGTTTCAGGGTTTTACCCAGCACCCTAAACGCAACACAAACACGATTTGGTGTACCACACAAATGCGGTGAACATTTGTCAACATTTGTGGGCTGCCACGAGGGGAACACATGGGTCTGTAGTTAGAAGAGATGGGGAGAAAAGGGGAAGAAGGGTACAGCAATGGGATCGTGAGGGGAGAGGGAAGCAGTACTGTTGACAGTACATGAAACAAAACTCCTAAAGCACACACACACACGTGTGCACGCACGCAAGAATGGACACACGCGCAAACGCATGCACGTCTTTTCACTCGTTAATGGACTGTGACAACTGCTAGGATAGCGATACTTCTGTAGCCCAACCACACACCCACCCATGCACTGCTGTTATCGTTACTGTTGTTACCGCGACTCATCTACTGCTGCCAGGGCAATTTATGTTTTCTGTGACATTTTTGTTGAATTTGCCACATGGATCCATGCAGGGAACAAATGTTGGTTCCAATGACAGCATGTGATATCTATTTAGCCACCAGCCCGATGCAAGAGAAGGAGGCGACGAGGATATATTTTTCAGTTATACCTACCTTTTCTTTACTCTTCACTACCCAACCCCCTTTCCTTCGTTCCTCCCTTCCTCCACCCCATTCATACTATTCATCATCATCACCGAATTTTCCTCCTCGCATCCGCTTATTGCCCCGGCTGCTACACTCAGTTTTTTTCTTCTCTCTCACACTCGATCCCAGTGATATGCGCGTGTGGCGATAGCATTTGCAGACGCAAGACATTAATGCCCGCCTGGAAGAAACAAGAGGAGTATCAATCTTCACAAAAACACTTGCGCTGTAGGTAATTCCTTCCGGTCTATTCAACACAGCCACACACTGCAGCAGTAGCAGCAACAGCAACAACAGTAGCCCCAGTATAAACGAGAAATTCGCACTAATTGGGCGTTTTATCAGATGAGCAGTGATTTCACATCCTTCTTCTCCAAAGAATCATTGGCTTTTACAAAAGGGCAATTAGACTTTTATTTCATTGGTTCTCACCAAAACATTGTCGCAAAATAGACAACAGGGTAGAGCTCGATGGCATGGGGATGAACAATTTGGGAAGGAAAAAAGTAGACTTGAAAGACGGAGTGGGATGTAATTGCCAAACACAGAATAAGGCAACAGACAGAGACAACTGACCAGAAAACCTCAATAAAGCCATCTTTTTTTCCCTGTCCCCACACCGCACCACACACACGCAGCCCGGTCCAGTCTCCTTCTTCTGCGTCGTCACACGCGTATGCACACACGCCTGTTGTGTGAAATCAGCGGGCGCGTGTTTGCGACCACAATGTCATCAGCGCGGCGGACACAGGCTGGGGTAAGTAGCCTGGCATCATATCCTCCTCTTCCCTCTCCCATTCACTCAGTGGCCGGGCTTTTCTCGTGCACAGGATACTGATGATGGCAATAGCGTTGCTGTGTAGGCCCCCAGTGACAAATGACCGCGGTGTTAGCATGAACAACTGATTTTGCGGCTCGCACGCAAAAACGGTCAACAATTTTCGTACCGCTTGTGTGCGTACACGCTTGCACCACGTGTGTCACCAGCAAAAAACCACACTTAAACGCCTCTCCCATTTGCCCGACTCTTGACGTGGTACCTCAATTTTAAACTTGTTTGACCTCCAGACATCAAAATTACCTTTTTCCTCTTCCTCTACACCTACCAGCTGAACGCAATGAAGTTCTCAAATCGCTTGACAAGATCGAGGCTGGTATTTGCAAAAGAGTAAATAGTTCCGCATTCATAAAATTTCCACTTTTAAACATTATGGCCACTTTTGGAGAGCTCATTTTAATTGTCTAATCTGAATTATGTTTTAATTTTTGGAATCGATCGACAAAAGTGATTGGACCACTTTTAGCATTTAACGCAACTCACTTTCAAGCAAAACAATCAGAGTAAAAATGTATTCAAGACTCCATACCCGACTGAGTTTAAATAGATAGCTTTGCCAATCTAAGAAAAAGAGAGAACTGCTTACAAGCCCGCCACAACTTTTTCCAAATCTAAAGAAAATCTTAAAATAACTCTTATTTACACTTGGGTCGCTGAAAAGCGAAAAAACTCTCCACAAAAATTAACGTTTTTGTAATAAAAGTGTGATGTTCAATTTGCACTAAACTAAGCCGCATATTGGTAGCGCTGACCAGACATCCGTGCTAATTGATCACATAGGGTGAAAATTAAGTCTGACCTCGTTAATTTGCCCGGCAGTGGATCCTAATTAGGTAGTGGACGACCTGGAACATGTTGATTGTCACCAAATTATGCGAATTTTTCTGTTAGAAAGATTACTGAATAATGGCATGCAGTAGTTTTTAAGCCATACTTAGCTCGCTATCCAAAAATTGCGGATCTCTCAGTGTGTGGGAGAAAATGACAGACGAGACATTTGGACACAGCAACCAGGAACAGACGACGTGTAAAACAGGCGCGGTTTATGTTGCGTCCGTGACAAGTGGGTGCGTACAATGTGCATGTAGATCTTGAAAACATTCGATCGCCGTAGCAACAGACGTGCGCACTTCTTTTCCTCTAACTTCGGTAACTAAGGTGCAACTGTAGTATTCTTCGCCTTGTCGTGCTGCTCATTTGACGAATCTTAATCTGACAGTAGTAACGTCCATTAAAGATCCCCTTATTGGTAACATTTGCACCTTTTTGCTGGATTTCCGGCACATGATTCGCAAAATCACGTTTTGGTAGGCTGCAAACCAACATGTCGTCTTTTGTAAGAATGGATCAAACCATTTTAGTTGACAACAGGTACAGAGTCATAAATCCATAAATCAGGCAGTAATACGTCTATTTTGTCTAGTGATGCAGAATGCCGCACTACCTGAAATGATGCGATCTTCCTTGCGCGAAGGTGCTGAGGGGGGAAGTCTCACATCATGCGCTAGTGTGTGTGGTAGATCTTACGTGTTGCATTGTTTATGTGTTTTTTTTTGACATACTCGTCTCCCAGTATAGCATCCGGCATGTATCCAAGACGACATAGTAGTAGTTTGTGGCTTGACAGACTCTTTAAATGAACCAAAACCGTGGATTATGGAGGCTACTTTTGCACAATACACAAAAATAGACATTCCATTAATACCAAACAATAGTCATTATGTTGACACTGACCGTCTTCTCAGCAAATTGCGAATCTGCTTCCTAACAAATATCGTTCCAATTTACTTGGAAGCACGGGAATTATATCGAAATATTTTAGAGAAAGTTTTTATAGCTCAGAGGTTTGCTTTCTCATCATGGATTGGAAATATTTAAAAACTCATACTGATTTTTCTACCAATTTGACCTTAAATAGTGGGAAGTTTTTTAGTCACTTAGGCTTCACTGTTCCCTTCCTCAGGTCAGCAATAACCGCGTTGACTTCAATCGCCAATTTTCATAATAAACGCCAATTTTTTCTGAAATCAAACTTGCTTTTATATGCCGCAGTGTGCCTTCAATAGCTCTAAAGCCATGAACTATCAATCGTGTTACCTAAATGTTAGGCTCATTGTGGTGAAATAACGCATGTCGAGTTCAGTAATTTCGTCGTAGAAGCAGCGATCCAGCAATCTGGAAAGAATTGCAAGCACACAAAGACCTAAGACTACAACAAAATAGGTAGCCAAAAATTGTATGCTCCCTTAGGTAAGATAAGTGAGCTCCTTTGTTTCTTTCCCCATATTTACCTTACAGAATCATGGGTGAGGGGGAGCAAGGGAAGGCTTTTAATATTACCCTATCAACACATACGCATACGACATGCTAACTGCCTCTCCACGCACACACACGGCGAAGACCGCTGGTAGAAAAGGTCACCCTCTTCCCGTCCCTCCCCCAAGCTGCTACGGCCGCACGCACATCTTCACAAGAGGTGCAAGGGCTCTGACTTGAATGTCATGACATTTGTGTGCCAAACCGCGGTGATGGAGGGGTGGTGATGTTGAAGAAACGAAAGAGAGACGGAGGAGCACGTGTGTCTTTTTCCCTCTTGCCATGATTAAGTGCAGTAGGCGTGGTGGTGGCGGTGGAGAAGGAGGTGATGGCATGACTGTCGCTACGACCTTTGGAAGAGCCACGAGAAAAAAGTATGCGCACGCGGAAGCATGTGCTAGCATAGCAGCGGCCCAAAGTGTCAGGCCGTGGATCGGTAGGTGGGTGGCTTGGAGCTATGCAAAGCTTGGAGAGAATGGTAGTGGGGCGTATGGGAGAGAGACGTGAGTGTACCCCTTCATCTCCTTAAATCCTAAATTACATGAACACATGCACGTGCGCACCTGTAACCGCAGGAGAGGAATGCGCGATCGTTCGTGTGTGTAGACTCTCTGACAAGTGTGTGTGCTGCTGCTAATGTCATCAGATTGTGCTTATGGCAGTGGGGGTGGTGGAGGAGCTATGGGGTTAGTAGTATTGGGCCACTGTCAACATGTGCGTGCACGGGGCAGGATAGAGCGGTAGATAGTCAAATTGTGTTATACTTTGAATCTACAGGAGGCGGCGAACCAACTAATGGAACCATGAATGTGTATGTGTCACAAACTAGGCTAGACCTGCAGGGGGTTCGTACGATTTTGGTGGGTTGCTTTAGTGTCAACAAAGTACCCTCACCATGTATCCGGCCCTTCGACTTCCCTTTCTCTACCTTTCTCTCTCGTCACTCCTTTCACAGTAAAAGGTAATGTAATGACAGAGTCAGATAACAGATATGCACACATGTATTCAGTTACAGCATATAGTGTTTTTGCACTTGTCATCCTGACACAATTACTCTTCCCATTTCTGTCAAAACCGTCAACATCCAGTTGTTTGGCCGGTTTGTTGGTCGGCTGGGTGGTTGGTGAAACGATGGGTGGATGAGTTTGGTTAATATGGATTCAACTGATGTTTCTTCCTAATTCCTAACTTTTCTCAATTATGACCAACAAATAGGATTTTAAAAAATAAAGTTCACTCACTGTGGTACGTCAAAAACAGTGACCTTGATTTAAAATTTGACCATATACAGCCTGCGAATTATGCCTCAAGTCCTTATATCCCTAATAAATTTCCTAACGTCTTAAATATAAACGTGATTAGCTTTTATGATCTCAATGGAAAAAAAGTGTTTTATCTATTTTTACGCCCACGATAATGCATTTGTACTGAACTCAATATTAATCTATTCCATAGGATTGAGTAAAATCTATTTCACTTGTTGGCATAAAACGCCTTATGTGGTAAAATAAGAATTTGCCCCACTTAACTAAAGGCTGGTTCTTTTACCCATGGATTTCATTGACTTTGACTAAAAAAACTCACTCAAATGACTGAAAAACTAATAATTGACCCCTCTAAGTTATGGCAGCCAGCCAATTGCAGCCCTTTGCATAAGAACGAATGGGCCATTAGTGAGAGGCTTTATATGACTATTTACTATAAATTATTTTTGAACGTCGTTCACCTCCTTATGCAAGGAAAAGAATGGTAAATAGCCTTTCCTATCTTACTAGTGGAAACTGAGCTATAAAAGCCCTCAACAGCCACCACATAACATGAAGAACAAAGATTTCCAAAGTGCAAATGTTGAGAATTTAATTTAGCCCTTAGCGGTTGAGTAAACACAACCATGAGGGGTGGAAATTCGTACGGATTGAAGTCAGATTTCACAACAGTCAGTTAAACCGTATCGAGGCTCCCATAACTTCTCACCCACGGAATCAAATAAATGTCCCCAAATTGGTCACAATTCTAATTCTACTCCCGCCAGCTTGAATGCGGAGGAAAAAATGAACAAATCAAAGTGCATCAATATCCTTCCTCCCATTCTATTAATTTAACAGAGAAGATAGATGCCATCATCTTGCTTCCTGTAGCCTCAGGCGGGGAAATGGAAGGATGCCAAAAGTTATTTTGATAGAGACTTCGTAAGTGCTCAGAAGTTGTAATTTTTGCAATATCACTACTTCAAATTCATTATGGAATGTTTCACTTCCCTACATGAGTTGTATCAGTTTTGTACCGGCAGCTGATTAATGATATCTAGAAACCAGCCTCCGTTGGTTCCCATTCATATTTCTGTATACAAAGTAATGTACAAACGGCATCCTGAAAATCGCACTTATTTGTGTTTTCAGTAAATCTATGTTTTCCAATTCTCCTCCATTCGCTAAAAATCTACTGCTCGGGAACAAATTCATTTCTAATTTCTAGCGTCTCCTTTAGTATTCGTTAAAGAGCCGAATTCTTGAATGTCTAAGCATTATTTCTTTACACTTTTTAAGCTAAAGACTGGCAATGTCGCATACACTTGAGCCACGTCTTCTTGCAAGCATTAGAATTGACTTGGTTTTAGCGGTAATTCAATTAAATGCACTTATCATAATAATCATAATGACCAAAGTTTGTGAGGAATTTAATGCTTTTATGATCGATTTCGTGACAATCTAATGCCTAAATTCTGATTTGCCTGGTCATCTGTCATTGAGCTGATCACTTAATGTGTGCTGGCGAACTCGTCCAAAAGTTTGGCCATCATTCCTTTTAATGGCGAAAAATTCACTTTATCTAAATGTCAAACAGATTCCAATAACCTCAGTATTTTTAAGAAAAAAATTAATTTCATCTTGAAAATCCTCATTTTATCCCACCGTGCCTCGTCAACCACGCAACCGCAACTGCCTCCGTAGCCCCATACAGTATCGTGG